ATTATTTTAAATTAATTTTTGTAAACATTATTTTAATGCGTAAATAGATTAAAGTGTATTGCATTCATTACTTAGAACTGAAATGTCGATGCATAAATAATATCCAAAAATAAGAAAAAATTAAATTTAAAATGATTAATTAATTTATTCGAAATTCGTATGTTGATAATTATATCTTCGTGTAATTGTGAAAAAAAATATATATATAGAGTTTTATCTCATTTAAAACATAAAGATAATAAATTCCGAGCTTCAAAATGATGCTCAAACGCCTTTTTCATAAGATTATCTTATACCACATGTTTCTACTTAGTTTTATCCTAATTATCGTTCAAGTATTGTTACGAATCAACATTTTCACTATCTCACCTTAACAATTCAGAGTTGATCAATTCAACGAGTATCATAATTAATACAAAAGATCGAAACATGTTTCTCGAATTTCGTAGCAATTAGAACTAAGAATCAAGTATCAAGGACGTTTTAGAAGCGTTGTAACTCGAATCCTCTTCAAATCAGTCGGAACGCGTAACAAAATATAAGAGCAAAGTCAATCATTAGCGTTCCCAATACTGTTTACGAATTTATATACATGATTATGTTTAGGAGTGGATGAAAAGAAGAACAATTGAACAAGCAGAGCATTTTGAAAACGTGTTGGTTCTTTTCAGTAATTAAGCCTTAATAAATTAAAAAAAAAATCGTGTTTCTTATTTAAACATATTTCTTACCTTTGCATTATCGCGACTCAATGTATTTAATTTATTAAATAAATCTGAAAGAGATGTTAATTTTTAAATTATATATTGTTTGTCTAGATTTACAAATGAATACTGTAGTAACAAATAACTGAAATAATGAAAGTGATTGAGAATCAGCGCTTTAAACAATATGCTGACATTTATCTAAAAACAATATATAATTTGATTTAAATACTTACATAACTTAATGTTTCGGTTCATTTTTAGCCATCCTCGGCATTTAATTTTATATATTCATCGATATTTTACATCCTCTTTGACGTATAAGGGGGACAAATGAAAATTTGTTATTAAAAATCGCTGTAATATTATAATTCTTAATTGATAAAAACGAATATTTTTTAAATTTAAATATCAAAAGTTTAAAAAAAATTATAAAATTTGATTTTTAAAAAAGGTTTCCTGAAATATGTAATATTATAATTATCTGGAAATTATTTTTATATTTATATACCAGAAGTTAGCTCGACAATCACTTGCACATTAGGTTTTATTTTCCATTTGAATTATAGTGCGACATTAATAATTATCTCATATATAATCCGTAAATGATATGTATAATTAAAATAATATCATACTTGTCCATAACAAATCGCCAGTATCCTTTATGGGTAACATTAACATATGTTAATTCGCCATCATAATGAGCGGAAGTCCCCTAATATTAGTACATTAATGAAGGATCCAAGGAATTTCTATACAGATTATATATTTTTTTAAATAAAAAAACATATTATTAATACGGAAAGATAAATTATGTAATATATATTGGAAAACAAATTATTTAAACTAAAAAAGTATTTTCGAACACACTTGTTCGAATAGTATTAACATACTTGCTGTCATAATGAGTGGAGTCATCCAATGTCAGATCATTACGTCAGATCCAACGTAAATGAGGAAGTTCTGCACATATTATACAGTGAGTGCAAAAAGTATTCGTATAAGAAAATTTTTAATTATAAAAAAAGTCTTATTTATAGAAAATAAACATTAATTAGCAATTTTATACAATGAATACATTTTGTTCTAATAAAAAAACGAGCTTCTCATGTATTCCTGATTTTAGAAGCCATTTCTCGACTGTACGAATACTTTTTGAGCATTCAAACAATAGAATTTTTAATTTTCGCATTTTTTCAGATAATATATTTTCTATAATTAATACACATCTTTTTAGTATATAATTTTAAAAAACATACAGTATATTTTATTCTTTATGAATAAATTGTTAATTGTCTATCAAGGAATGATTTTCAAATATTTGATTTAAAATATTGAAATCAGCAACCTACAAAAAATTTACGTCTTTAAGAAAATTTTGAGATTAAGATTGAGATTAAATATTGTATCAATTCAATACATCATTCTTTAAATGCATCGCTATGAAAATTAAAATAATTTAATAGAAAGTTACTAGTTAGTACGCATCAAGTGTACGACCTAAACTAAACCAATAGCGTCATATGTGCAATATTGTCGTGTAATATGCTGTGTGCAAATGAAGTTAGGCAATCATTTTGTAAGCAAACGAAGCCTTGCCCATCAAATAACGTATATATTTTAGATTCGAACTTCTCCGTTCACATATTTCACTTAAGATGTAAAGAAAAATAAATTGCAAGTCTCAAAGGATTAGAAGCATTTTTTTATCTGTCCACATTACTCTAACACACTCTAAAGTACAATTTTGTTTTAATTATGGTTGAAGTATTTATTGTGACTCAATAAATACACATGCTCACCTGTGCAATTCTAAATTGATCAACACGATGAGGCAACAGCAAGGAACAATCGAAACATGAACTTTCTGACGATTAAATTTAAGAAGATTTTAGAGATGTTAGAATTTCTTTTCAAATCTAAAAATATATTAATGTAGCAGAGTACTATATAGAAAAATAATTTCCTTTATATTTTTATTCTCATCCAATAAATAATAAGAAAAAAATTTTCGTTTATATTCATCCATGTATTAATCTTTAAAGTATGCATCGTTTGTCTTGATAGAATAAGCTGATAAAAAATAATGATACAGAAACCTGTGACTAGAATAATGAGAGCAATTGAAAACGTGCTAAACAATACGCAAAAATTTATCTAAAAACAATATATAATTTGACGAATATAATTAATTAATTATAGAATTAGATGATTTGGCTTGCTTGGACTATTTTCATCAATATATTCAATCTTATTCATCGATATAAAATGTGTTCCTCAACAAAGGGACAAGTGAAAAAATAAAAGAGTCCTTCAAACATAAACCAATTAAATCTTTGATTGAAAGGATAATTGTGGAATATATTTTATACAATACGATATTAGGAATTGAATTTTGAAAAATAAAATGATGTAACTAAAGGACAAACCGCTGATCAAACCATTATACTCAATGTCTACTATCAATAATGTCCAAATAATAATGTCCAAGTTATGACCAAGTAATACCGAATTTTTTATGCTCATTAATGTCTTAGTAATGCTTCATATTGATCAATAATATACAACCTAATACCGGTTATCATAATACACAATTCTCTTAAAAAATGTTCAGTAACGCCCCAAATTTATATATCACAATGCCCACAGTAGTTTATTCTTTAGTATAACTAAAGAATTGAATCTGTAAATTCAAATTCACTCAAGAGTTTCGCATAACATATTAAAATATATAACTTAAAATTTAAATTATGTAGTAAAGTAAATGGTGCAGTACAAAAATAAAAGAAATAAATACAAAAAAAAAATGAATTACCTGAAAATAACAGTGAACAATCGATAAGTAGCAAAAAAGAAATAACCGGAAAGCAATTATGATCTATACACTTTGAAATATAAACGTAGAAATAAGAATAAAGGAAAAAAAACATCAAATCGATATGAAAGTGACGCAGATAAAAAATAGACAATACTTCCAAATTGTACTTGAACGATAGTATATTGCAAATGCGGTTGATCAGAAAGGTATCGTGTAATCCACCGATATAAATATATATTTTATGTACTTACAAAATAGAGATAATGAAGAGATAAATGAGGTTGTCTACAGAAATAGCAACTCTCTTATAGTCAATATATTCTATTCATTCCTTAAGTCTAAACAAATCTTTATTAAATCTTAAGTTTAAACAAATCTTATTTAGTTATAATATATAATCTTAATAACGCAAAATTATTTTTAAAAATATGTATTATTATCATTTCCTGGAAACATAAGATATATTCGATAACATTAATTACAACCGAAGACAATTTATTGCTTTAAATTTTAGATAAGTTTACAAATGCAGAGTCCGCATTGAAAAATACATACAACTTTTACATTTTAATAAATAAAAGAAAGAAATTAAGATTAACAGAATTATATTTATAATATCGTGTGACAATACGATATTATGCTGGAAGAATGAAATATATTAAACATTGATAGCAATAATATCGCAAATCTTCGTTATACTTTTTATAAATTATATCGCACACGCTTTTATTAAGAATGAAGTTAATGCTTAAATAATTCCAAATAAATATGTCAACGTCATAAGTATAAAAATTAAGAAACAAAAAAAATTTAAAAAAAGATTCTAAAAATTTTGATAAAATAATTCGCTCATTATTTCCTATAATCTTTTACCGTTTAAAATAATCTCTTGAGAAAACAATACTTATTTTGCATGCAAATCCCACTCGGTCGTTCCCCATGTCGAACACAGTATAAAACCGATTAAGAAATAGAATACCCAAAATCCAAATATCATCTAAACTAAAATATTCCCTGGAATTTACGAAAGGGTTTGTACCTGACGTAAGATTCGAATTGATCTACAACAAATTGAACATGGCATAATGTTTCATTTTAAAACAGTTTATAGCTCTTGTCTATTCATTATCATCTTATATAGCGAATCAAAAGCGAGAAAATATATTTTAAAAAGTATTATAAATTACATTAAATTATATTTTTTAATGTAATTTAATAAACAACATTGCGTTCGACATATTTGTAAAATATATCCAAACTTCTCTATGTGTTACAGTAAAATCAATAAGTAACCTTACAATTAAATTATTAATTATTAAATGAATTATAACTCCAGAAAACAAAATAAACTATATGATTTGCGAGACAGTATATTTTTTTATAAGTGTATTCTATTAAATGCAAAAAATATTATCTTGAAGAATACGTCCAATTTAATACATTTTGTAAGAGTTTTTATGTACTTTATCACTCTGAAATCATCAATCTGAAGATTCGTGGTGAGTGGAAGTAGGAATTTTAACCTTTATTTAATGATATTTACCATTCTCGTATTGATGTAATCATTTGCAGTGAATACGAATGGTTTACCACTCAGGAAAAAAGTAACATTGGGCGACTCAGAAATCTGATGGCAGTCTACCTTTAAACAAAATTTAAAGTTTAGTACTGGTAGTCCAGATTAATAAAACCAATATCACAATAAAGCTTAGTATTAATAAATCATATTATTATCAACGGTAACAAATCAAATATTTATTAATTTATTTCAGTAATTTATTCAGTATCATTGAAAGAGAGCTGCCATTGGAAAATTTATCATCTACTTTCAACTATATCTCCTCCATGAGAAATTCCAATTCGTTTTAATGAATCCAATTCATTGTTAATAAATTCGATTTCTGACGCT